CATCATTTATCGCCGTCCAAATGATAAGCGGTATTAATCGATAATAGAATCCTTTGAATAACATCGGGTCAAACATTACCACTGCTCTGATCCACGAATTTGCATATTCGATGGTTGAAAGGGTGAAATGGAAGATATTAATTGTTCGTAAATAATATCAAATCGATAATCATAGTTTATATGGGTAATTAACACTTTGAAGTCCTGCAAATATGAAGGTTACTATATCAGTTCTTCTATAGCATTCTGATCTCAGATAAATTCTTTTGTCCTGAAGCGGACTTCTGTACCATAATTTGAATTTCGAAATTGTATTTCTTATTTCTCAATTTGATGTCTTCAGGTCATATATCTAAGCGTTTGGCATGCAAGCAGAGGAGACAAAAGAGGACAAATGTTGTTCACAACTTAGGTCATAATATATCTAAACGTTTGGCATGCAAGCAGAGGAGACAAAAGAGGACAAATGTTGTTCACAACTTAGGTCATAATGACCTCATCCCCATGTCCTCAACAGGTAGACTTCCCGCCTGTTTTACACACATCTCTTCCCAAATAATTTGCTGGTTCTGCGAAGAAGAAGAGAGGAATAGGATGTTTTAGTATAGTGGTAGTAAGTAGATATGGACTTACGCAAAAGTGTATCGATATTCAAAATGACATTTAACATCTTCAACTTGTCCACTTCACTTCATTTCCCAACACACTTTGCCTTAATTATATGCAGGCATAAATGAAAATCCATAAAGATTGATTGGAAAGCTTAGTTCAGAAAAGTTTTGGATCGATCAATAGACGTCCGGTGCTTTAAATGCAAGTTCCATTTACTCTGAGAGTCCCGCGGAATCGATAACCTTTGTCAGTCTTCTGACCCTTCCAATGATTCTTCTAACTTTTCTCCTCAACAAAAGCATATTCAGACACTAAACAACGTAAGAGGGGTGATATAATGGCAAAATTCAGTAATAAAGTACAGATAAAGCTTTTCCTTCTTTGGCGATTATTTACTGAATTATAATCTAAAATTATCTCAACTGTATCTGCTTTAAGCTTATTTAATAAATTTCAACTCTTTCCAATAACATATCATAATGTCTTATTTGCAATCTTATGTTTCAACTTTTTCGTTTCATTTATTAAATCGTACAAACTTTTAGAAATGTTCTACGATATAGAAACCAGCCTGTGTACATATGATGATCCCAAAAACAGCAAACTAAGTAGAGGCAAAAATCTAGTTTTAACCCAATAATCAACGCTTATCAATTGAATACATGACAGTGTTTCTAGTAAAAAACAAACAAAAAAAAAGTAATTGCGTGAAATTCAGTGGCCAAAAAATCAAAACAAATACTAGTCCAAGCCATTTATGATTGAGTAATTAACTGAGATTTTTTAATCAATTTTTTTTGGCAACAAAACTGGTGGGTAATATGGGATTTCTGCGACTTTAACAATGATTCTTCTAAAATTTAAATTAATCAATAGCCTACCTTTAAGCATTATAAAAACTTTTCAGAATTCTAGAAGATTGCAATGGATTATAATAACCTGAATTTTGGAATTTGGATGAAAATACCAAAAGTAGAGATTTTTTTTGCTTCATTTCAACATTTAATAATGGACGAAATTTAAATTTAATATTTTTGATTCATCCTGTACAAAATGTTGTACCAGGTAGGTGAATGAGTAAGCAAACTCTGTCAGTGATTTCAAATTTGAAAATTAAAAATGTGAAATATGTACACTTGATATGCGATTTAGAATACTTCGCAGATAAATGATTCATTAGACAAAATTAATAAGTATTTCGATATCTCATCATTTAGCCAAATCTAACTATCACAATTTTTTTTCTAACCAGCCTTAATTGTAATGTTCAAATTTTGCAGACAAAAAACTTTTGTTGTAAATTTGTTTTGTTGTAAATTTCTTCCAATCTTTTAATAAAGCTTACATGCAATGTTGTAAAGAATTCATCTGCTAATGTCGCAATATTGTAAAGAACTTTTAGTCTGATAGTCAAGCTAATGTGTTTGGATTGTTAAACCACTCCTATCATATAAAGAGCTAGGATCGGTTATCCGGATTTGTTAGTTGCTAAATCCGACAGCTCGCGCAGCTACTCAATCGGACAGCTTGCTCTATTATTCAATCCAACATTTCGCGCATGCGATGGCACAGTCAGTCATACAATTTCGACAACGGTTCAGCGGTAGCAGAAGCGGCAATTCAAAGGCAATTCAGTGACAACTGACAGTTCAAAAGCATAAGCAACAAGACCATTTTTTATCTTTTAATATTTATTACATTTTGTTCATTTCGCCCCTATTATTGCATAAGTACAATATTTATTGTACGTATAAAATGTCGTATAAAACTAATAAATGAAACAGCAAAATCTTTCACGACATATTAAGCTTAGGAGACAAATGTCGGAAAAACCAAAATAGCTGTATCATAGATTTATTCAAGCAGTTCTCATCTACATTTATTTATTTTTTTCTCTCATGCTTAAAGTCATGAGTCAGCTGTCTAATCTTCAAATCTTCTAAAAGTGCTTTTACTTCTGTTAAGATTTATGCGCATCTGGTAACTAATTTGTAAAGGCTTTACTATAGAATTTTTTATAAAGAGAACTGTTCTTACATGTAAATTTCTCTTGCAGTTGTGAGAATACTGTCAATTTGTGATGATTGTTCCTTTCCACACATCCCATATATAAACCCGTAATTCTAACATTCTAACATGGATCCAGTGTCAGTTTCTCTAAGTCACCACCCAGCTCTTATTCATTTCTTCTCTCCGTTTATAAATTACTACATTTTTTCTCCCGTTGTTCTACTATATTATTCTGGACTTCATTCTGCTATAATCGGAATTAGTTCGAACCTATTTTTATTGTATTTGGTATCCGAACAAGAATAAAGAATAACTGCTATATTCCTCGAACACATAACAGAACCGATATTCAATAAGTCATTCTTTCAAAAACTTAATTGCTTTTATAACAGGAACAGTATTCCCCATCTATCTTCTTACTTTCTTTTTTCGCGACAACAAATGGATAAAAAAAAATGGCTAAAAGGGTTTATCTTCCTCCGATATATAAGACCTAAAAAGCAGGAGTGTCGTTTGAGTTAGTATGGTTAATGAATGTGAAGTTGTGAAAATGAAAAAGTACTCAATGCATTAAATGTTTATATTCATCCTGTGAAAAAACCTTTCAAAAGTAATTCTACTCATTAGCTGGGATATCTTACAGGCTTTACACAGAAATACTTTTTAGTGGAATATTTTTCAAAATTTTGGTGAAATGAAGAAAAATTGCATGTTGAATTGGAAGATTTCTTTCATCGTGGCATTCTTATTTCATTGTTTACATTTCCTTAAATCATTTCCCACAATTTTCTCTCAGAAGTTAATTTTCATACTTCATTTCAAATTGGACCGAATCCACTATTTGTTAAACCACGATGGAAAGAACAAAATGGTACTGGAGAACAAGCATATCACTGTTATCATTGTTTATTTGATTATAGACGATATCATTTGAAATTAATATTTTCATGGCGGAATTAAACAGTAAAGTATGTATGATTTGGAAAGTTTTAAGTAGTTCCTGAACTATTCCAACTTTTATACATTTTTTCATTATATTTGTGAAAAATAAGATATAAAATAATTTTGTTATGATGAGAGAGTGCAAATGTAAATATTCTTTGCGCATTTCATTCTCATAGTTTCAGGTTCTTTCATCTTTTTTATTTATTTTAATTGTTAAATTATTCAAATATTGTTCCGTTCCGATACATATCTCTTGATGTAAGTTTTTATAATTTGCACAAAATATTTAAAGCAATAACTTTAGTCAATCTATTTATGCAAACTTTTCACATTTAATTGGTGGTGTGAAAAGACTGCAAATTTTGTTTTTAACAGTAATTAATTATCATTTTCATTACTTCCGAGACAGTTGATTGAGTGTCCATAACCTCAAAGTTTTCATCCATTTAGCTGATTAGATTGTTTCCATTTAGCCGAACAACGAGCTTGTTTTTGTTTGTCGAAATTCCCAAAAAACAAAAAAATTTCAAGCGTTATTTCCTTTCCATGTTATAAGTGATAAGGATTGTTTTAGTCTTATTTAATCAAACATGACAGAGATCTTGCACTCATTTAAAAGAAGAATGAATAATTCTGCTGTCTATTTTTATCACCATTAAGAGATTAATGATAACAGTTTGTACAACCGAATTGCGCAATTACTGTAGGCAAATTGCACCAGTATTAATGATGACACTAACTGCTGTTACAATTATTCCGATCTTATTGTGTAAGGCAAAGAAAAATATGACGAAGGGACGAAAAGGTATTGTTGATTTATTCAATGCAAATTCCATCATAAATGAATACCGCTTAATCAGAGTGTATTCATTAAGTCGGATATTCCGTAACCGGAAGAATTTTTCGACATTTTTAAAACAAGCGGAAGGACGGAGCGATGAATGCAAGCTTAAACATCAAATAATCTGTGATCCATTCATTTTTCAGTATTAAATTTCAAAATTTTTCAATAAAATGTTCCTCAGAAAAATAGCAAAAATAGATTACTGATATAATCGAGTATGTTTATGTATCCAAACTTCGTCTAGTTTGACTTCATCTTTGGTATTCACAATAAATCATTTCATAAATGTTATGAAATAATCATTGCTTAAGGACCTGAATAAATTCCTTTAACTACATTAATTCCAAAATCTCCTGATTTCAACTACTCCAGTTTCATTTTTCAGTGGATGTAGCTATGTTAGATATCTATTGATCAGGTAAAAAAAAGAAAAACTGGTTTTTGATATGCCCGTTAGTACGAAGGAATCTGAAATACAAGTGATATGTAAAATTTTATTTACAAAATGTTTTTCTCTAATAGTAATAAGATACCACACTAGATTCATCAAATAATGAATCAACATCAATTCACGGCCAAGAGTCGAATGTTCTCAATAAACAACAAATCTTATCTTCCAACCCGTTAGTTTTCATTCGGCGATTTTATTCCTGGGTGGTTATTAAGCTTCCCTAACAATTATCTGTTAAATGTCCAGTCAAGCAGCATATAAATAAAAATTGTAAAATGACTGTCAATTGTTATTTGAAACGGGAATTCTTCCTTATTTGATCTTTACTTTTCTGAAAATCATGCAGCAAAGAAAGACTGTGTAGATGAATGAGTGCGAATTCAAATAGTGAGTTAAAAAAAATAATTTTATGCAAATTATATTTACTAAATTATAGAATGGACAAAAATTTGAATGTAAACATTGAAACAACCTCAATCATTCCAACTGATCAAAATCAACGAAGAAATAATCTGATGAAGAAGAAGGTAACAGATGAAATAACACCGCTGTTTAGTAGATCCACTGAAGAAGATGTTGTGAATGAAATTGAAAAGGTATACATTTGAAATTATGATATATTTAAGATTTCTGATTAAATAATAAGTGAATTTCAATGTCTTCCACCAATAACCAGTATTATTCGGTATCTCCGAAAAATAAACTCTATGATTGCTAAGAAATTTGTCGAGAAAGCCAATCTGTTGATTCGTTTATCGGCGATATAGGTTTTATTGGCTTATAACAGTTGGTTGGGTCGAGTAACGGCTGAGATATAAGAGCTCGTCCTTCGTTGTGCTAAAGAGTAAACGGTAATAGGAGCGGTGGTGGATAAGCGTAGAGGATAATGTGATGCGTTTTTGATTATAAGAAACTGATTGTGTGGGATTTTTTTTTCCTGTTTTTTTTTCTTGTATCTCTCTCTCTCTCTCTCTATATATATATATATATATATATATATATATG